TTTTTTAATTCATCACATGGATTATTTTTTTGTCCTCTCATCCTTTCCTGTCTCCCCACCAAGAGCAGTGTGTCATTGCTTGAAAGTATTTCTTCTCCGTTCCTCCATCAGCTCACTCTATCAGGTTCTCCCTTTTCACCAGCCACCAGTCAGGAAAGCAACTTGTTTTCTCCCAGTCTCACCTATGGACTTTCTGAATTAGCCAAGTTGTTAGAAGAGCTGATCACAGATCTGCCTAGTTTCCCCTTACTCTAGAAAAAGCTGGATACTTCTCAGAAATAATTCCAGTTTCTGATGCTACCAGAAATATTGTCCTCCCCTAATACAGTAGTTTGAGTTCACATTACTCTCTCACCTTGTTCTGCTTTAATATAATTTCCCAGCGCCTCTGACAAATTTCAGGCAAATTCAAGAGAACTTTTGTCTAAGGACTGAATAGATGTCTTGGAACTTCTCCCCAGCCATGACTATACCATGCTGGTAACTACCAGCATGCTGCTTGCTGGCCTCCACTGTTAGCATTGGCTTCAGGAGCCAGAAAGGCACGAGTCTGGATCAGGGCACACATCTGCAGATGGGACCACACATCTACAGTCCATCTGCCCAGCCCAAGGGAAACCTCCTGCTCTTGGTGTTCCGCAGGGAGTGAGATGCAGCAGCTGGTGGTTGGCTGGTCAGGAGGTTCCTTGCTGCTATTGCTGCTCACCTCCATACAACATCCACACAGCCTCATCCAGCACCCTCTGCTTAAAAAAAACCCTCCAAACCAACCAACAGATCATAGCTTGTTCTTCCATTCTTTCTCACCACAGACTATAGCCCTATTAACCTAATAAAGACGCCTCAATCTCCTTTCAGCTCAGGAGAATTCTTCCCACTGCTTCCACAGAGATCTCTTTGGATGTTCTGCCAAGAGTGTGCATTTGCTGTCATGTTCCAACTTGCTTGAAATAACAAAGAATTATCCTTACAATTAAGATCAGGCTGTACAATTTAGATTCATGCCTTAGAAGAGTTATTATTCTCTGCTGGAGATGTATTGTTCTTCCCCATTTAATTTTATTTACTTTTTTAGTGGATGCAACAGTTACGCTGTCATTTATCAGAGAAGGAAGCAGCAGCTGCAGAGCTGTGTATATAAAATAAACACAATGTGGATGAAGCTATCAGAGGCTCAGATTTCAAGGAGGGGGGAGGATTGCTTTTAATAAGATCCTGTGTCAGTAAAGTTGCAAGATGGAATGGCAGGGTCTTACCCTATTAAAAATAAGAGTGGGAGCAAATTCTTTTCTTTAATGGAACAGCAGCGAGAGCTGCATGTGTACAGACCGAGGACTTAATTTAAAAAGTAAAAAGCAATTTGGTCATTCATGTTCAGACTTCGGGCACTCCACAGAGCATGCTGAACGCACTCATTTCTTTTTAACCCTTTGGCTACCAGACCCATACAGCATGGAAGAGGCAAAGCCAGGGTGTATTTATCCCATTGAACAGGACAGGACTTGTTTCCTCCCCTGTGTGCTGTGCAGGCAGCCAGCTGATCCCTGGAAAGGCAGGTGGGAGGCAGGCGTCCTGCTCCCGGCTCTGACGCCGCTTTGTTGTGTTAGCTCGGGTGAACAGTTTTCCCTTGCCATCAGTACAAACACAGATGCTGATGCTATCAATAGCTACTACTTGTTTGTTTAATCATCTGTATGAAGCGGGTGACTACGAACCCCCCAAGCATGAGAGCACCCAGAGCCAAGGGCTGCAGGACAGCCAGCTGCAGTCGTGCTCTCCAATAGGACATGGCATGCCATGACACTGATCTGCCCTGTCCCTCGCACACTCGGTGGTGAGAGCAAGCCTGGCAGGGTGCCCGGCATGCTGGGGACACAAAGGAACACTGAAATGCCTGTCCTAAAACCAGCAGAGGCAAGCACAGACTGGGGCTTGGTGGCCTGAACCCCGCAGCCCAGCCTAAGGGGGATGGAAGCTTTGGGGTGTCTGTGCACCACAGGCACCACGAAGCCAGGCTGGATGAACATCCTTATCGCAGGGGTTTTAAAATAAAGCTGAAACCATTTTGTAATTGAGCTAGAGTCACCCACGGGTGGTAAGAGTACTAACTACTAACCCATTTGCCCCTGCAGTGCCTCACCATCTCCTGAAGCAGCACACCTCACTTGACACCGAGCTGCACCAGCTCTGCACAGCTCTACAACAACCAGCCACGGCTGTATTTTCCCAAACATGTGCATACCCACACACACAGCTCTATTGCAGGCATTATTTCACTAATAGCATAATTGTGCAAAATATGTAAGTATTCTCTGTAATTGTATAATCAGCATGTAATTATATAGTGTTGAAAATATAAACATACATTAAACAGGTGAATGCATTTATTATTCAAATATAAATTTCAGTGGTAACTGAAATCGTGCCAGTCTGTACATGTGTGTGTAATTATTAAAGAATTGGAGTGAAACATGTTGCATTTGTGTAAATAATACCTGATACAGCTAAGGCCACCTTTGGACTAAGACTAAAAGATCACAGTGGTGACACATACCAAGGCATCAGAAGACAGCAGATGTGCATCTGCATTAGAGGCCTGCCACCAGCTTCAGGAAGCTCTCTTCCTCTCACTCTACCCTGCTGAAAAATGAATAGCAGGAACAAAAGGAAAGCTGTTGTGCAGCTCCAGCTGCACGGTGAGCCCTCCTCATGCAAGGAGTCTGGTGACTGCCAACACCTTACACTAGGGATTATGAAATTACCATCTAGACCTTTTAGGCCCAACAACCTGACCTGGTAAAAAGTAGTATAGAAATTTTTAAGGAAAAGGTGGTTAGATCTTTGACCTCCTTTCACTCCTGCTTCTCCTGACATCAGTTGCAGTGGGCCACTGGAGGCAAAATCAGGCCTCTGGGGTTTTATGTCTCATATAGAAGAGACATATTCCAGAAAAACAAACCCATTAGCACAAGCATCTTCCAAGAGAAATATTTTATCATATGGAATGGCTCAGGGATTCAGCCTTCCACAGGGACTGTGCTTCAATCACAGATGGGATCTTGGGAACTGCATTAAATCACAGATGGTATATTTTTTCCTATAATCCACAAAATGGGCTATTTCCACTGCTTGCTGGTTTTTTCTTCCCTTCCCTGATTTTTATATTTTGCACATAGCAGTTGCAAACATGGATACAATTTTTTTAAAAGGCCCTTGAAAACATTTTCTTTTAATGATGCATGTAAACTTTCCCTTCTCCGTAAATCAAACACCAAAATGTCGTTCTTTTCAGAAATTAAAACATAGTTAATTTTAATAGGCTTGCGTTTATGTTTTATACTTTGCTTATTTATCTTCTGTGTAATTTCTGATTTTGTGGGTAAGCTCAATGTTCCCTTGTTATCTCTTGAAATACTGCATCAGCCATGAGCTACTGTCTAGACTGAGATAGGGCAGGTTCTGCTGCTGCCCGCTCATGGGCCATGGGCAACTGGTGGATCACACACTTGTGCCCCTCACAGTCTGTGTAACCTTAACTCTGAGCCATGACCAAGTGAAGGCAGCAGCACAGCTCAAATTCACCCCATCCAACTCCGGTCCTTTACTGGGGTGATATATTTAGGCACCCCATAAAATCCCTGTGCAGTCAGGGGAAGAGGATGGAAGGAGGGAAGGGGGTGAAGGAGAGAAAGGAGCATCCTTTTATTTAACACATCCTGTTATTTGGAGAAGCCTCACTGTTCTCTATGTAGGGAGCCTAAGGCAGGCAGGTACTTCACCGAAGTTGGGGAAAGGAAAGGAATTTGGACATTCTCCAAACTACTTAGTCTTAAAACAACAGATGGAAACAGAGAGATATGGGGGTCCACGAACAGTCAATGAGATTGTGATATGAGTTTGTCTAATACACGCCCGGCTCTGCTCATCAGTGCATCTCCTCTTTCTAGCTGCTAAGTGACAGCAAAAAAAAAGCCAAAATTACATCTAATACTTTCCTGAAATTGTTTCATTGTTTTTCCATGTAAACTACTGCTATAGCTGGCACAGATCTGTTATTTGTTTGCTGGTAGGAGAGAAGGAGAGCCTATGCAATGTGAATAAGAGAAAAGGCAGCTACAAACAAATCTCTCTCTTCAGCCAAATAGATTTAGAGCTCCACGTGTTGGTATCAGTATGGTAACAACTGGGCTCCTATCAGCATCACACTGCAATCCAACCTCTGGGGATCCTCTTCTATATCCATTTAACTTTTCCACCTCATTTGCTATCACAAGATGCTCAAATGCTGTTGTCATTTTGTTTCTGTTTATTGATGTTATCAAGTACTACACTTCACTGGAGGGTAATCTAGACAGTATTTCAGGCCCTCTGCCAAGACAGAGCTGCTCCAACACCCATGTGTCAGCCCCAGAGCCAAACAGCAAATCAAGACTCCACACAAGGCAATGGTAATCTTTCCACTGGGCTTTGAATCAACCTTTTGAAGAGTATTTTTCATTGACATTAAATCTGGATTTAAAAATCCTTTGGCACTGCTAAGAGGCCAGTATTGCAATTACACCAACTCACTCTCAGGCTGAGTAGGTGTTTGTCACCTGCTGATATCTGGGATTTCAGTGCCTTGTGTCCATCTTCCTGACCCTCAGGAAATGCCCACAGTGATTTCCTGGGGTCAGAGACCACAATTTCTGACCCACCCAAGAGCAGCTCCAAAACCCACCATCAACCTCAGACATAATCACTTCTAATTGTGCAAAATTCACCACCTCGCTTCAAATCCTTGCTAACATGACATTACTTTTCCTCTACTCATTTTGCTCCTCATTTAACATATTTCTGTTGCTGGTCTCCACAGCCCCCCATGTCTTGCTCCACTATTTAAATATGCACTGGGGGAAAGAATATTTCTTTGTGAGAGGGTTTTTTTTTTCACTTGTATTCTGCTAACATGTCCCTCTCCCAAGTCTCCCTCACGTAGAAGTGGTGCCTTTTTGGCTAACATGGTGAGAAAAGCCAGGAAACTGGGCGGACATCTGTATTTTTCACACATCCGGGATGCTGAACAGCCAGTGAAAGGGGGTATGTAAAGGGTAGACTTCTGACTGCAGCTCTGAAACCTCCCCATGAGGGAGCTCCACAGCTGGAATGGATAGTGCTCTTGGATTTTAACGCTCAAACACCCTCTCCCATACGGCCCAACTATCCAGCCTTTACAAGGGTGAAGTGGATATGAGCCTAAACATTTTAGAGGCAGCGAGTCTATACTCATGCCACACATGATTTAGTGAATAACTGATGCAAGGCAAAAAGATGGCAGCACTCTGTGATCTACCAGCTGTGCAAACAGGCTAGAGAATTTAAAATTCAGGAAGCTGTGTCTCCAGGAAAGCATTTAAAAAAGAAAAAAATCCCTAGTGCCACATCTGGTGGCATCAAATTGTCATTATGACATGGTATTTAAGATGATTTAATGGGTTTATTGCCAAGTAAGAACCTTGGAGTTTGCTTAAACTACTGTGCATTAAAAGGATGTAACTCTTTAAATGATATTCTAACAAAGTACTGCCTAAACAGTTTATTATCTTTCAGGAACACACACATACGTAGATCAGCATGTGTGTATGTGGAAATAAATAGATCAATAGACAAAAGATTAATAGAGCTGCACATCTACATACACATGTATTTAACAACACAATACAGGAGACTCACACGTGTTGTGAGAGCTATCTTTTGGGAAAATTTCATTCACTCCCCTTTCTCCTTCTCTCTTCTACACCTCATACGGCAGGCAAGATTTCTGTCCACCTTAATTACTTCCCACTTAGGGCACTGAATCAATGGGTGGTTTTGAAACAAAGGATTCAGCTACTAAAAACAGCCTGGGAAAGTGCCTGGGAAAGGTTACAGGTTATAGATGACTTCTAAGAAAAGGTGTCCAGAAATAGAAAAGGTGTTTTTTCTTCTTGCTGAATATTTTTTATGTGACTTGGTGTTTCTCTCACCTTTAGTTCCTGGAACAGTTCTCATTTCCTCTGAATGTTCTGACTTCTTATCTCAGGCTCTTTCAGCTTGTTGATTTTAAATTCAATCTGGCTAATTCAAATTCAGGGCATGCACAGCTCCCAAAGTCTTTCACCATCTTCTGATTCTACAGAATGGGGCTGTTAATGGTATGGGGTTTTGCCAGTGAGGAACGGTGCAAACTTCCTTTTACACTTATTTCTTTCATACTAGATTGACATGACACATTGCAAGCCTGATAGATAATCTCACTTGGGGTGTCTAACTCGGGTGGTTCTCTATCCACTGACTGCATACAGAAGGGAGGTTTCCAGCTGAAGGTTCTCTGATGCCCACCTTGGATAGATGCCTTAAGTGAACAGTAAGAGTTGCCACTTGTGACAGTGTATTACAGAGCAGAATCCTGAACAGTTTCATCAAGTCACCTGGAGCTTTTCCATCATCTATGGCAATTTTCCCCCACCAGTGTGTTTGCCTCTTAGCACATGAATAAACTGTCAAAGCATAGTCTGCCTCTGCCAGTCAACCTCATGTGCTTGTAACATGAAAGCAAAGAAGTTTTTCTCTGCTCCAGGCTGAATTAGCACCAGAAGTGACCTAGCCAGAGTACAGAGGAGCTTCACACGTCCCAGGTGAGCCACCAGGCCTCTGCAGTGACATGCCTACACTGTGTATGGAGAGACTGTGCCCCTGCCCTGTGAGCTGGGTCACGATGACACATGGTACCACCAAACAGCTCAGGGATGTCAGCTCTTGCTGACACTTTGCTACCTGATTACCTCTCTGACTTTAACTTCTATCTATCTATAACAAGCTATATTTGTTTTTCATTTATGAAAAACAATACTCTTACAAAGCAGGAAGGAGGCAGGAACTTGTTTCTTCTGAAAGCAGATCAAGATTCACTTTAAAATAGAAAGGGGTCTTCAGCAGCCAAAGGGTCAGTTTTACTCCCTCTCCTTTTTTTTTTTTTTTTTTTTTTCCTTCCAGTAAGGGTTTGATAGTGAGTAATAGTGAGTAATTGGAAGAGGGGAAAAAAATCACCTCAGGTTGTATATTGCCACTTCCTCTTGCATTGCAGTTAATGCAAACCTTTGATTAGCCTGCTGAAGAGACCACACATTCAATAATTTGAAGCAAAAGGTTAATGGTGTTGTTACAACTATTATCCCTTTTAAAATCATTATCCTCTTGTTTTTTATGTCTATATTACCTTCACCTTTCCATGAACCCACTTTACCAGCTGTTTCCCTCTGTCATAAAGTTTGCTGAACATCATCCTAGGAATAGGATAAATGCCATGTTTTATCAATCAAGCCTAAGGGAATTCTCAGCTTCTCATAACCCAAACTGTAAAGGGAGATCATTACAAAGTTTCTATTTTGATTTTTAAACTGGCCATGAGTGAAATATACATTTCATGTCAAGGTGCAAAATGCTGCAGCGTGACAGCATTTTTCTTGCTAAGTTTTACAGATCAGCAAAGTATGAAAACTGAAGACATAGAAAAGACTAATCAATTATAGCTCATTTTAAATTGGCTATGGAAGGAGAAACAGTCCCAAGCAGAAATGCACAGAATGACCAAAACAAAGAAAATGTGCTAAAGCGAGGTGATAACTGGCCCCATTTCTGAATCATCTCCCATCTTCAGAGCCTAAATCCTCCTGACTTTCAGGAAGCCTTGAGCTTCTTTCCCTCATATTGGAAAATGGAAATTAGAAAATTCCTAAAATTTCAGAGTGAGATTGACCTCCAAATCCTTGGCAGTGTCGGAGACATATATGAAAATGCTCCTTTCTCTCCAGACACACTAAGAGGATCCAGACTGCCTGTCTTCAGCCATCTCAAGTTAGTTGCTCCATTAACACTTGAGCTAAATCTTTGCTCTAGGTTAATCTCCTGGTGCAGCTGTTTTACAGTTGGTATCTTCTGTGATCTATTCCTATACTTTTCAGATCCTGTGGACACCACTAGTCTGTGTCTTCATCAGTTACCTGATCCCAAGATCTAACAATGGGCCTAGAAGAACTTGTCTACTTGGAAGAAATTTCCAGTGAAATTAATTAAGGAAAAAAAAAGTGTGGGGTAAATTAAAGGTCTTAAAACAATCACATTTTGTAAGATTTCATTATGCCAAATAAAATATCACACTCTTCCTGGAATTTGAAAAGAATCCGTTAATGATAATGCCTCTACATGAAAATACATTCTTTGCAGAATGGCAACAGTGCAGCATTTACTGAGCTCTTACTAAAATAAATGAAGTGTTCTGTGATTGCTTCCTTTGAACATGGAAAAATACAGGTAGTGCATACTAATGTTTTCCAACAATAGTGTCTATCAGGGACAAGCTGTGATATGTACAGATATTTAAGCAGGACAAAATGCAGGCTCTGTCTGTGCCATTTTTGTAATCATGGATGCACAGGAGGAATTAATGCCTGTATAACTTAAGAGCATTGGTGGCAGCAGAAGTGAGACATTTTCCTTTTCTTTAAATTCTGAACATTTTGCTACCAACTTCTGAGTAGTAATTCAAGAAGAAAAAAGGGGAAAATTTCCCACATGAAAGATGTAATAAGAAGCAAATTCCCATTACAAAAGTCCTATGATTGACGTGTCTTGTCATTATCACTGAAAATAATCTTCTGGTGTGCTATAATGACAAGAGGATGTGTAATGTTATTCTGATACAAGAAAAGACTGTGTACATTCATTGATCCAAAGAATTCTAATTCACCCCGTAGAGGAAGATAAGAATCACAACAGCAGGCAGTTAAAAGTCCATCTAGCTCTGTATCCTGGCTCTGACAATGTCTACTCCTTCATATTTCAGAAGAAAGTGTCAAAATAGGAGCCTCATTGTGAGCATTTCTAAAAATGAACAGTATTAATAGGCAGTGTGTTCTTATCTCTTGTGCTTTTCATGGCTGGCTGACTATGATTGGCTTCCACAACACTGGTTACTGCAGAGAGTAAGCTTTGTGTGTGTCCTCTTTTTTCTTTTATACATATATATTTATACTTGCACATATATGCATGTCTGCAACACACAGATGCTACATACTCAGGCAGGAATTGAAATAACAGAAAAGCCCAGCTTTTTCTTACACTTAAGAATCATTTGTGCACTTGATTTTAAAGAGAAATACAGGCTTAACCAGCTGTTGCCAGCCCTGCTTTGTCATTTCTGTTTTAATCACAACTTGAACTGGTTACTGGGAAATTTCTCAAATATTTAAATATTTGTAGATGTGGTTAACCCACTAATGGTTTTTAAGAACCGCCTGAGAGAGTTTAAACACAGACTCCAAGGTTTGGGAAAATGGGCATCGTGATAGGAGGCATAAAAGATCCAACTTCTTCAGCTTGCCAAAAGAAAGGTTTGGGAAGGTGATAACTCTTGATAGATATCTGGAAAAATTCAGTGACGTGAATGACTTGACCTCACACAAAGCAGCGAAACAATAAGCTACTATTTAGAAAAGAACAATTTCTGCCTTGAATTAAGACACTGTTTCCTTGAAGCAAGATGAATAAAAACCAGAGGGGACTAGAAAAAATAATTGTGTTGCCATGTCCTGGCACCTACAGGGGAAGACGCAGTATCTTTCGGGCATGTATGCTCTGAGCCAGGGTTTGTGAGAGTCTTTGCTTGTATGCACACGAAGAGGGAAGAAGATGTGAATCAAAACATCCTGCTTTCCTCAGGACCTAGGAAATGGTTTGAGAGAGGTTCAGATTCGCTTCCCGGATGGGAGAAGCTCATACAAGGTGCAGCTCTACCCTAAGACAATAATTATAATCAGATTTCATGCCTTGCAGCATCAGCTGGATAGTAAATGTAAGAGGATTTTTCCCCCCTAGGTTTGTTACTCAGCTTCCATTGCTGTTCCATCTTCCTCCAAAGCACTGAAGGCAGGAGCTCCGTGTCCTCTCTTGGACACCAAGAATACCCTTGGTTGACCTGATGATATGCCAAGCTTATCCTGCCACCAGATTTTAGGGTAGGGTTGTTAAGGACTGGGTTGTTTGGGGGTATGCTTGCTTTT